TTTTTGTATATTTTCAGTCTTAATTATTTTATTTGCAATTTCAATATTTAGTACAATAAAAAAATGGTCTGTTATACTTGTTTGAATAACTTCAGTCTTTATTTTCTCGTTTTGTTTGTTTATCTCTTTAATAAAAATATGGTCCGGACAAGAATGTTTAAAACCTATTGGTGCTCTAGTAAATACGTTTATAAATTACCTAAAACCATGTTCATAAAGCATATCTAGATATTCATAATCAGTAACATCAACTCCTACAATATTTAAATTTATATCACCAATTATTATTACAAACCTATTTCCATAATTTTAAAATTTTAAATAATATCATTTAGACTAGTAAAAAATTTGGGTCTATCACTAGCAGGCGACCTATGAATACATAAAATACTTATTGACAAATTATTTAAAGTAGGTAAGTTGGACTTTTACAATATTTGTTTACAAAACATAATTATACTCAAAAAAATCTATTTGTAAGTGTTCTTTTGCAAAAACTCCATCGTTTTGATTTCTTTTTAGTTTGGAGTACTATAAATTATAACCAAGAATATTGTAATCAGTGGTGCACGCAGGGAGAGGGGGGGGGGGAGTAAGGGGTTGTAACTGTCACCATCGCTTATTAATATAAATAAAATTATGCAAATTAAGTATTATTTTATATCATGCTACATCCAGGCGTATGCAGACCAGCAGTGGCGCACGCAGGGGAAGCGGGTTAAGGGGTTGTTACCCCCCCGACATTTTCTCCGATGTCTAGGTTAAAATTTACAAATTTTACAAGTTTGAAATATAAAGAGCTAGTAATGAATACCTAGTATCATTGATTATAGAATAGTCTATTCTATTATCAAAGCTATTATTTAAGTCAAAATATATTAAGGATTCGCATAATTTTGTTAATTGTAAAATTTGTTATATTTTTACCTTGACGGAGAGGTCCCCCTCCACGAAAAAAAATCCTGTGGGTGCCATTGCAGATCAGTATTTCAGAGGGTGCCTACAATATTTTTAGGCTCATTTCTACATTTGATAAATTAAAATTTATAAATATAAGTAAACATACATTTAAAATTGTATTTAATATTGTGGTGTATTAGTACCTATTCCCTTTTCTATTTAGTATTTAATATTACTCCTTGAATCTCATATATTCTTGTAAGATAGTTTCAATTTTTATTTATGATTTGTATTTTTGCAGTCAAACAAATTTAGATTCTAGATGTTATCGCAATAAGTTTTTATACGTAAAACATTATTTTATTTTATTTTTGCTATAACAAAATATGATTTATTTTTTATCAAATATTTTAGAATAAATTACATTTAACTCAAATAAAATTATAGTTAAAATACAGGCCCCTTATTCTTGGTCTTGATTTTTATGATCCCATTTATAAAATATCGAGGAATACCAGATGTATGAAATCATCCCTCGTACGTATACCTATATTTACATAAAATAATATGATGAAGTCATTACCAAGAAGTTTAACATATTTTATTCCGTGCTTTTTCTATAACTCTTTGCGATAGCATCTTCCTTCCAGTTCATAAAACAAACGTGATCTGGCATTTTTACCTTTTTGTTAGATGCTCTTTCGCAAACTACGCTATATCTATTATGAATTCCGACAAATAATACTTAATTGATATAGGTTACGCCAATAAGTTAAAATATAAATATGTGAATCATATTTTTCGGAGTCTTCGTTAGTCTAGGATCATGGGTTCGTATTTAGAATAGACGGCATTGCCTACATTGTTACTTAAGTGTACACGACCAAAGAACAATAAAAATAAGTAATACATAACCCATATTTTCATATTAATGCCTTGTAGTTCGTGAAGGCTACAACAGTTTAGCAATGTATTTGTGTTAGTCTATCTTTAGTTCAATAGGGACTTACGTTATCCCAAATAATTAAGTATTTTCTGTTCACCATCCTAACGCACAAAAAAGTACAACAAAATACAAACAAGTAACAAATTTTACTCTACACACTAAGAGTATTCTATGCTAATATTATATCAAAGACTATTTATAGAGATTATTTAACATTGTCAACGTTATTGTCGAACTAGGTTATTATACATCATAGTAATATATATATAACTTTACAACACTCATAATGGTTCTTATACCTCAATAAACCAAAGATACATTATTCATTCTGTATAAAAGTTTATTATGATGTTTATGATTAAATCATGATTAGCATCTACTCGTTGTCTACTTAATTTTAAAAATGTATTCTGAGTCTTTAGTTAAATGAAATCTATTCAAAATTAATAATATATTGGTAAGAATATATTTTCTGCAGTAAAAATTAAAACATACTAAAAACAAATTTCAAACATAGGAAAAAAAATTAAAAGGATAAAACAATAAAAAAAAGTTAAAACCTTGTATACTACTAAACTTAAGATTTCTGTTAGGTACTAGTACGTAAATTTACTAAATATTTATGGTGGAATTAAAATATCTTTGCCCATTTATAAATGAATTTTATTTTCAACAAAAAAGCAGTTCTAAACTTGTCACTAAAAATATAATAAATTGGTTATATTAATCAGTATAAGAATTAGAAAAATTGTCTATTAAGATGAGTACAAGCAGATTAAAATATAAAAAAATCATCTTTTGGCCACTGAACCTAGAGGAAGTTTTAATTAGTCGGCTGTTGATTGCGCTATGAATAACTACAGGGGTCACCAAAGTTTTAAAATAAAAAAAATGTTAAACAAGCCAAATTGGCAGTCACTCAGAAACACTCCGTCCTTTGGTCATCACCATTAGCATTTAAACATTTTTCAGTTAAAAATATGTTAATATTTATAAAAATAATTTGAATAGAAAAATCTGTGTATAGCCATAGGAATATATCAATTATAATATTAATTGTGTTTAATTTGTATACCAGACATTCAAAAAAAAAAAAGTTTATACATTAACACATAAGAAACTATACTTTATGAACATTATAGGCGTAGTCAATCAAAGGAAATTATGAAACTCTCTCCCTTGAACCAAGTAATATCATCTAGTAAATATATTTTGAATATATTAAATACATTAATATTTCTAATACAAATATAAATAATAAATTATAAGTTTTTAATACTAATGAATTTTAAATCAAAACTGGAGAATTTCATTACAAACTTCATAATTTATTTACATTGATATTATTAGAAACATTTTATCAATTAAAATAAATTATATAATTAATTATTATTATAAGAATAACCACATATAGTTTTAATTTAATGTTCACAATAAATCAAGAAAAAAAAACTATTTATTTAACATCATTAAGAGTTTTACCATAGGAACTAAAAGTGAACGGACTTTCAATTTCAAAAATTCATCATCCTTCCATTAGTTACTTATCCCAATCACCAAATTTACAACACAATCAATATGATAATACAAATAAGATATACAATTTAACACAGTGAAGTAAATGTTTTTCTTCTAAATATAATTTGTAGTGTTTTTACTGCATCAGTACTTACTTTCCAAACCATGTAATATAAATTAACATACCATTTTGAGAGCTTAGTCATCCCATTAAAAAATCTAACTGTAAAACATATTTAATATATGTTTATAAATAGAACAATATTTTATCATATCTATTTCAATAACTCATTTCTTTGACAACTGTTATTTATTAAGTGTTAAATATACTGTTCTATATATCTTCACTGAATTAAAATAGTACTATCTTAAAGAAGAAAACTAGAATTAGCAACAATACAACATAAGTTATTGATGCAAAATTTGCTATTTTATAAAAAAAAATTAAAAGTTTTAGTGACCAAGATACCTAATAGTCTAATAAAAGTAGGATAATTAAAGAAAAAAATATGAGGAAAGGTAACACACAAATTGTATCAAACATTTATAATCTATCTACGAACTTAATATATATGTATAATATATATATATTTAAATTAAACAAATTGCAAAATAATAAAAGTGCATCTTATACAATTACAATGGCTGCTTATACTTAAAAACGAAAAATTTGTATCAACGTTTAAATAAATTAAGTTTAAACCACATACATTGTATAAAAATTTTCAAATTGGAACACTTATATCAATATCATAATTAATCAAATTTTTAGTGAATTGTCAGGCCGCGTTTTAAGAAAGAAGATATATTTACGAGACCAAGAATACAGAAGTGAGGACAATCGATACCAATTCAGTAATTCATTAGAATAGCATAATTTCATTTAAAAGATAAATAATTCCATGTTAAGTACAATAACAATTTGTATATATATATATATATATATATATATATATATATATGAAAAAAAAAGTAAAAGATAACGATGTGAGCGAGAGAATGGAAGTCGAAACCGGCAAAGATGAAACGACTACAAACTAAAACCAGTAAGAAACCACTATATTCATTGATTTGTAAAGATAGAAAAATCACAGCAATTAGAAACTCAGCACAATGTTATTATTACAACAAAATTTAGAGGTTTATATAATATGTATAAAATCCATCTATATATATATATATCCATACATATACATATATATATATTATTTTCAGCATAGTATATAATATATACATATATATATATATGTACATAAATATTTGAAAATCACGAATGAATTATTAAAGTAAATATTTTTTCAGAATTCAGGTTATATACCAAAATCTGATTTTGAAAATTAAACATATAAATCATTTTAACATTTTAAATGGACGGTCAACACGAAGAATGCTGGCAATAGTAGTAGTTTACTAGTAGTTAGTTTGATACTTGTCAATTTAGTCAAAGTGAAATATTAAATTTAATAGATTTAAATCTAAATAGTTACAATAATTACCAGCAGCCAACGTGTTAAATAATATTGTGTAACTATAACATATTTTCAAAATGTATTTATATATATAATATATATAAATTTTTTAATTGTATTATCTCTATATAATAGTTATAAACATTCAATAATAATTAATAGACTAATAAAGAAAAAAATTGTGTTTATTTATTCTTATTCATGTTTTCTTGTATTTAGAGAACAAGTATAAAAAAAAAAGAAACAGTAAACAAAGAGCGTGTCGTGAGAGCGCATTTGTGGGAGGGTGGAAGATGAAGGGGCGCAGTTTCTCGCGGAAATGTGTAAATGTTTGTTTTGCTTTATTAAAAATTATTATATAGTTTTTTTTTATTTTTTATTTTTATTTAATATTTTTAGTAAAAGAGTTAGTTGTCTCCAGTGGCTTCCTGGGGCTCATCGTTGTCCTGTGTGTCAGACGTCCATAACGTCAAATTGTCGCGCAACAATTGCATAATGAGCGTTGAATCCTTGTAGCTATCCTCATTCAATGTATCAAGCTCAGCAATTGCATCATCAAAAGCCTAAACAATTAATTTACCATTATAAAACTATTAATAACAAAATTATAAAATTATTTTCAAACAAACATTAAAGCATTAATTACACATTTAAAAAACTTTCAAGGTAAATTTATATTTTCAGTTTTTAGAACAAATCAACATTAATTATAAAATAATTATATAACATTTTTATTTAGTATTTGTACTATAAATAACGTGAAAATGTTAATAATATAACTATCTAATTATAGATATTTATGGAATATTATATTACAACAGAAATCTAAGTAATTGAGAAATATAGTGTTACTATTTTTCTTTTACCAATTAAAGCATTAAAGTAATTATTGGTCTTGCTGTTCAATTTGAATCTTCACAAAGGTTAGATATTAAAGAAGCATGAAAATCCAACATGTTAAAACAGTGGTGACAAATCATAGACATAACAGATCTTTTAATTTCATATAAAAATTTATAGATTTGAAATAAATAAGTCTTTAAAATTTCTCCATGTAATTCATATAATGTAAAATTTAATTTCAAAACCCATTAAAAAGATAAATTTACTTATGAACAGTCCACCACTGAAAACGCACAAAAAAAAAATTTCCGATTTCACATGGGACAGAAGGAGGGGGTACCTGTTTCGCCAAATGGCAAGCACGAGCCGGGGAGTTAATGATTTCATAATAGAAAACTGAAAAGTTCAATGCCAATCCAAGTCTAATGGGATGAGTGGGTTGCATTTTTGACTTTGCTATATCAAACGCCTCCTGATATGCTTTTTGTGAATCATCCACCACCCCTAAATGCCAATAATAAAAAAAAAAAAATGTTATACTTTATGAAATAAATACCTGTTTTGCCAATTGGCAAGCTTTGTCTGGTGAGTTTAGTATCTCATAGAAAAACACTGAGAAATTTAACGCCAGACCCAATCGAATTGGATGTGTTGGTTGCATTTTTGCTTTACTGATCTCGAATGCATCCTGGTATGCTAGTTGAGAATCATCAACCACAGCTATTTTTATCACAAAAAACAATTTTTAACAACTTGCAATAATATCTAATTAAATAATTAATAAACATAACACTAATACAAGAAAAACCAATAATATGTTAACAATAATATCAAAAATAAGTAATAACTAAACATGTTAAGTTAAAATTTTAAATTACTTATTTAAAATCCTGTATCTCACATTAGTTTAGTAAATTTTATATCCAAATATGTTGTGTTATCATCAGTATACCAAAAGATTCCTCAAAGAATTTCAGAAGAACGAAAGTTATTTATCAATCAACATCATTTGACATTTAACAAGTGTTTTGTATTAATTAATTAATGCAAAACAAAATGGTTAAATTAAAAAAAAAAAAAAAATTTAAATAACAATTTATACTTTTTTGTTATAAAAAATCAACAGTTCATTGTTATAGTTCTACTAGCATATTATGATAGTTATCAAATTTAATTAAAATTAGTTAGATATAAATATTTTCCGTATTATTGTCGAATTTATTAAATTTTCATGAAAATATATTGAATAATGTTCACTTATAAAGTTGATATTATTAATTCTTATATAGCTATATTATTAATATAGCATTAAAAAAAGATACCTTACAATAATAATTAAGTTATCGCATTGTATTTTTTAAATTCTCACTGAATTTAAAATAGTATTAGAAATTTGTTCAATTCAAGTTAATTAATCATATTTTTTCCATCAGCTTTTAAATTTGTTCCTCATATAATTTCAGAAGAACGAAAGTTATAATAATAAAACATCATTTGATGATATAATTTAATACTAGTATAGTAACTAATACAATTTAATACCATTAACAAAAATTGAAATCAGTGTAGGGCATTAAAGCCAAATTCAAAAATTAAAATGTTGACATATATCTAGACAGTTATCAAATGTAATTACCTATCAACTTTTTATCATCAGCTATAAAAATTGTTCCTCATAATATCTCAGAAGAACGAAAGTTAATAATTAATAAAACATCATATGATTTTTAACTAAAACATTAAAAATGTTAAATTGAACCATTAACCACTAAAATGATTAGTAAAAGCAATTTTTATTATTATTTATTATAGATTTTTAAATAAAATTATCAAAATATTTTATTCAGAAAAACATTTCAAACAAAGTTGCATAAGATATTTACTCTTTTCTCTATGGAATTAAGTTTAATTTAAATTTTAAACATGTTCAGCAAGCACATGCATTGAAGAATAACAAATTAGTATAAAATAACCAACTGCCAATTACTATAAACCTTTAAATAAAAATATGAACATTAAGGACACACATATATCAACAGGTTAACAATTATACTTCTTCACATACATTTTACAAATTTAATATTTTATATTTACAAATAAAACACCTACAAAAAAATGTAAACATAACATTATAATTGATTTTAATAATAAATAAATACAAATTATATTTATTTCTGTTTTCTGAGAAATTATTTAAAATACACATTGATATATCTTTTTTAAAATAAAATAACCATTAATACAGAATAACTTACCATTTCTAGTTTCACCAGTTGCTACTTCCGCCAGGTACCTGTAATAATCACCCTTCATTTTAAGGTAGAAGACTTTGCTTTCAGCGTTACTCGCTTTGGGAATTAGGTATTTATCCAAAAGGTTCTATAAGAAATATAAATAAAAAATAATTAATATTTAACTTCATAAAATGAATAAAAATCATAGTTATTTTAATTTTGAATTGTGTTAGGTATTAATCATTGATAAAAAATGAAAAATTTTATATGAACAAAAAATATACCTATATAGTTATATATTTAATTACCATTGAGTTAATTATATCATAAGTAACATACCAATACGTCATAGCAGATGTCTCTAAGTTCCTTTTCAACTTTCTCACGATATTCTCTTGCCATTTGTTGTTTTTTCTCAGAACCTTCTGTTTTTTGCTCAATTGAAGAAATTACTCGCCATGAAGATCGCCGAGCACCCACAACATTTTTATAAGCCACAGAGAGCAAGTTGCGCTCTTCATTAGATAGTTCCACGCCAGTTTCGGTAACAGATTTCATTGAGCTAGCCATGTCGTCGTACCGTTCAGCCTGTTCGGCCAGCTTGGCTCTCTGAACCGAATCTTCTTTATCTCCAGACATTTGATATTTAACTTGACCAACCGATTAATTTAACCTAACAAAATTAAAAATAACTTAAAATAAATTATTGGTAATCTAATACATTATTAAAATAAATAATTGGTTAAGATTAATGCATCAATTTAAAAAATAAAAAAATAATAATAACCCAAAATATTTAATAATTTATATTTTAATTTAATATTTATGAACTTACTCAAATAAAGATGAAAGAAAATTAAGACTTTTGAGTTAAATTCTCATCAAAAACTATCATAGATAAAAATTTTCTTAATGTATCCATTTTTTTTTTTTTTTTACAATATGTTAATATTCTTTAAAATATCTATTAAAGCTAATAGGTAAATTAATCTTAAAAGTATATTCACTATTAATAACTCAGTTGTAATTGGTATTAATGTAACTTATCAGTAATAGTTTCAATGTTTAAGAAAAAAAATAGTACTTAAATAGTAGTCAAAATCAATCAACAAAACATTTAAATAGTTGAACTAACACTAATAATATAAAAATGTCACCAACATTATCAGTTATATACTTAACACTAAAAATAACTCGAGTACTTTAAACATAAATATTGAGTTTAATTCAAATGTTTGGTAGGACTGGACAGACAAGTTTAACATATAAATAACTAAGAAAATACAAATAAAATAAATATTGCCTGGAAAATTCCAAAAATAATTGTTTTATGTTATTGTGAAAACATTTTCCAAACAGTTTTTAAAATTGATTGCACTTCAGAAAAAAACATAATATAATGTACAAAAAAAAAAAAAAAAAAAAAAAACTGTATTAATTATATTTTATTAGATTGTTATCAGAAATTATAAGACAAATACAAGATATAAGTAATACAGTAGAACCTCGATAAACCGTACTCATTCTTCCAAAAATTTGTAGATACCAAAAGGTATAAAACAATTTTGACTTCCATGTCATGGATTCAAGGAAAATTAGAGGCTAAGTGAGAAAAATCATTAGAAATTGCTTAAAATTATGATTGTTTACTTCAAATTTCTGATAATTTTAAAACATGACAATATGCATTTATAAAAACAGTTTGAATAAAATATAATAGCGAATAAAAAAAATGAAATAAAAAGTTTTGATTAACCATGGTTTTCATTTATCCGTGTGACTCCTCATCATCCTGAATAATCAAGATTTCACTGTAGTAACAAAGTAATAATGTGATTTTTTAAACAGAAAAAGAGATCAAATGTTTATAATTATTAGTTATTAATCATTACTCGACTTGATAGATAAATACATTTAATCGTAACTAACTTAAAACAATCAAGTTATGACTATCAATATTTTACTCATTAAAACTAATATTACCAATTTCTTTTATTGTAATAGGATATTAAATTTTGTAATCTAGTAAGGTACAATTATTGAAAATAAACGTATCATCGATTAGACGAGATAAATAATAACAAATAAATAAAAATACCAACACACAATAAGATGGCAGGACGACCATGAAACGACAACGGTTAAGACATTATCCTAATAAGGATGAGTATATATTTTGAGAACGTACCAGTGTCGGTTATGAAACCAGATATTTCCGATCGAAATTTTTTGAAATAATTTAAAAAAAAAAAATGAACTGGTGTGTTCGGCGATACGTATATTCATAAATTAGAAATCAACGGATCGCAAAGAAATCATTTTGTCAGTGAATCGTAATCACGAAGTGGAAAACATTATTTCCTAATGTGTCCGGACCACTGTAGTCCATAAGCGTTGTGTCATGTGCGTGAAAGGCAAGTGACGGCGGGGCGTGAGGGAAGTGAGAAAAACGCGGCAACAATTTTCCCGTCGTCACGGCACGCTCGAGAGTTCCACCTGGGTGTCATCCGGTCCAATACAATATGATATGCGATGCGTGTGTAATAACCGCGCGAGGTGACACACGGCCGTGGAATGCGATTGCCGCATTGTGCCCCCCCTACAATGACGGAAGGTGTGTTTGAGCGTGGATAGAAAAAAAGGGAAAAAAAAACACGCGGCGGCGGTAACGATCGAGGGGGAAAACGGGTGGGCGGTAGACCGTCGCGGTCGTTAATAACGATGGATCGGGATTTGAATTGACAAACGACGAAAACGATCGCGGAAACGTAGTTAATCGACCGGGGGAGGACCCGGCGACGGTGGCCGCGCAGTCCAGGGAACCATCGAACCGTATCTCGCGCGCGCCGTTGGCGGTTAGGGAATGCGAGAGCGATAAAAATAGATTACACATCGTCACACACCGGCCGGTCGTGCGCGCCGCCGCCGCCGACGACGACGACAACGGCTGCTGCTGGTGGGTGCTCCGGGACCGCGCGACGACATCGTAAAACTCACCTATAATGGACGCGGACAGCCCGATGCGATGGAAAATACTGCAGGGCGGTACGGTGGACGGGTACTACACACAACTGTACACGCGCGACGGACACGGACGACACTACTGAACACTGATCGGTGTACGCGGACTGACGGCGGGCGGCACGCGCACGGGAAGAGCGCGGAGACGGAAAATTCGTTCTCGGAACACGGAAAGCGAACGAAAATTCCTTTTTTTTTTTATTAATACAATATTTACGTACCGATATTGTACGTACGTATGCGCGTGTTATTTCGTACGGAACGCAACTACTGCGTATGCGCGTGTATTTGTGTCGGTGTAGTGTGTCGATGTGTGTACGCGGCCGCGTGCGCGCGCGCGCGTTACAGAGCCGGACGAGATTGAATACGCGCATGACGGAGTGAGAAGGGAGGTGGTAACTGCAGGTCGGCGGTGGAGCATAGGAGTGGCGCGGTGGGACAGGCGCGAGAGCGCCGTTGACGCGCGGCGGACGCTGCGTCCTACCCCCACCGCCGCGGCAACAATAGCGCGCGCGTACGCCGCACTATCGATTTCGGTTTGAATCTTTTCCGAACGCAACCGACAACGGATTTTTCATCATAATCTGGCGTTGATTTTCAATAAGAAAACCCCTTGTACACCTAGACCGGGGTAAACGGTTGGCGTTGCCGTCGGTACACGACGTGTGATTTGTCCTCTGCGAACGGTTCCCGTTCGTCCGCCGGACAATACACATATTATTGTGCGTCATCGACGCACACGCACGAAGCTGACATTCCGGTTTAGGAAAGCGTTGTGCGAACGTGCACACGTCGTGTCATTGGAACGAAAACTATTTACGATTGTTGTAACGTGTTGATTTACGACGGAAAACATGGACGAAAACGAGAACAGATGGGTTTGAAATGGAACACGATGCGTTCGAGGACGTGATCACCGATCTAGTCCGTCGTCCCCGGACGCGAACGTAATAGTATATTACACGTCATTGGCGTAGGACGACGACGTACACTCCCGCGAAAACAACGCACGCACTATTGTGTACGTCCAGTACAATAGTTGTGTACGTATCGAGAGAATAATTATGTGTAACGTATAAAAATAAGCAAGCGATATCGCGCCCGTGTGCACGGTGGTAGCGGTGCAGCCGAGGCACGCACGCGCATTGCTGGACGTGTGCGCGCGTGTGTGAGCACAAGGTTCGATCGATAGGTATGTGGTGGTGTGTGTGTGTGTGTGTGTGTGTGTGCGCGTGTGTAACGAGAACGTCGGCCCCCGGATAGCACCACCGCCTCGAACGTGACGGGCGCGAAAGCGAGTGGTGGAGAGCGCGCGCGCGCCGCGTCGCTCCGGACGGGCTCTCTGGCCGATGAGATATGGCAACAGCGGTTTTGTTTTCGTCATGGATTAACCGTCCGCCGTCTCCGTCGCCGCTGCCACCGGACTGCCGCGCGCCACGGCCAACCGGACAACCAGCAGCAGCGGCTATATATATAATTATGATGAGTAAACGGTGGCGGTGTCTGGCCGCGCGCGATCGGAATCGGAAATAAGCGTCCGTCGCCGCTCAGCCCCGTAGCGCATACCGTCGTGTACGACACCGTCGACGGTGCGGGGCGATCGAGTGCTGCTCCCGACGGGGGAAGGGGATCGCAAAAACTAATAAAATATCACACTGGTGTGTGTGTGTGTGTGTAATAGGCGCGTAGCGCAAATTCCGCCCAAAAGCCCATTTTTTCTCATCGACCCGATCGGTTGTTGTTATCGATGATTGTTGCGAGGACGGCTGACTGCGAATCATGATTCGACAGTGTAATACGTGTGTCGTCTTCCGTCGAGAAACGTGTAATCGATAAATTAATGTCTCGCGGCGACCGGCGGAAGTGAAAAGCAGATAGAAAAAAAAAAAATTATGAAAAATGCGCGTTTGATCGTTTCAAATGCACTGGCCGTGTACGAGCGGTGCATGATAATACACGCATAGTTATACCAGGAATTGAGTCTACCTACATGAGTGAATAACAAGGTCAATGTCTTTTTATGGCCATGCACGGGATGAGATTTTTGGAACGCCGTGTGTACAAAACTAAACGCTCAATGATTACATATTAACAGTTATAAAAATAAACCAATATGGTACAGCATATTACCCTCCTGAAGTTTGCATAACGTATTGGAACGAAAAACTCTGAGCCATTCGATCGGCCGATACAAATACTCAGGGAGGCAGAAATGTGGGAAACAAACACTCCCTGTCTTAGCAATAACTACATGGTTTTACATGTGTATTTGCCCATCAAAAACGATAAATAATAAAAATCAATACATGCGATTACAAAACCATTATCCATTTGCTTTTATAATTTATAGTATTCATTGATACTTTTACCTTTTTTTTTTTAAACAATTAATTTCACGGAATAGGTCATTTTAAATATAATAAGAAAAATAAGTCCAACATAAAAAAACATATACCATATAAATGATGTTAATTAAAATTAAACATTATAAACACTGGTAATAAAACGAATCCTAGGTAAAATTTATATAACTATATATTCAATTTTTATAAGGAGCTTTTATTCAATGTATTTAATATCATAATTTATCATTGTTTAATTAATTCAAACATTGATTAATTATAATAAATTCATAACTCAACACTCAAAACTAAGTTTACAAATGAACTAAAAAACATTTATCATACTATCTCTATCTAGAAATAAATGTATAAATATAGATCATTAAAATAATATTACAAAATTAGACTAGAATTTTCCTAAATAACGGTAATTTATTTCAATAGTGTCTTGAACATTGGCTATTACCCTCAATTAAATTTCAACATCTAAATTTAAACTTTTTAAAAATATAAAATATTCACTGACAAAAAAAAAAAGACCAATTTTCTTGGCCCCAACAAAGAATATAATAAATGATAAAATATAAGGGAAGGAGAAGAGTAATGCTACTTGCTGCATAAAACAAAAAACCTACCAACCTTTTAACTTAAAAAAATTAATTTCAATATATTATGTAAAAAGTTGAAGATAAAAAAAATTTAATTTTTTTTTTTACAAATAATTCTTACGTTTTTAATCGTTACTTAGAAGATCATCTAACATTGATTAGTTATCTTAACTTATTGTAAATATAACAGATGTACTTTAAGAAGTAAGACTAACACTAAGGAAAAGCTTCAAGTTAAATCACCAATCATTAAATTTAATGAGAATGTAATCTATAATGTTTAACTATGGTTTCTAATAATTTAAACATTTACAAGAGGTAAGTATAGAAAATTAATATATTTTACACAACAATTGTACTGTAACTTTGATAATTCTTGAAATATAATAATATTTGAGATACTATCAAGTGTTATAAAACAATTTAATAAGAATAAAAATAACACTAGTTTTAATTTTACTATTTTGAGATAATGTCCATTGCTATTATTCAAATCTGCTACATGACCATAAAACATAATGAATTTAGATTTAGAGTAAATAATAAATTTGAAATATGTAATCAATGAATTATTATTATAAAAAAAAAAATACTAAATTATTTTAAATTTATTTAGATTCAAAAACTATATTAGTAAATTACTTCCATAACCATACCCTAAAATGCATTAAAATGATTAAAGAAAGTCAGGATTGAATGACATGCAAGTGCAATAGCATGAATATTCAACAAAATGCTATAATAATTGATTAAAATATAATAAAATTAAATATTTTCGAAGTTGATATTATTTTCTGATAACCTACACCAACAATATAATAAATCTAATATGTAAACCTCACTTTAAAAGATTTATAAACACCAATTAACCACAAACCTTTATAAATCCATAAATATCATAATTATTCATCAAAAATAATTTAAATTACTAGACACAAAATAAAAATTTAATTTAAAATTAAGAATCCGTCACCAAAGTTTCCTAATAAAAATGTTATTTCCTAAAAGAAACATACAAAAGAGAATTTAGGAACATTTTGTTACTTATTCAAATTATATTATATTTTGATTTCAAACAAATTTTAACTTTAAATAATAATTATTAAGTATAAAATATATTTGAATCACATTAAATTGAGTAACTCATAGAAAAAAATAATATCCAAAATAAATAAATTAATGCTTAACGAAAAACTAATATTTTTAACTAAATAATCTATTAAAAAAATTAGGTATGTAAGTCATTAGACAAACAACCCATTTACATTGAAACGCATACAAAAATGTATAACTGTCATGATACAATTTTTTTTTTTTGTTTTTAATAATTTTTTGTAAGAATCAAGTCAAAAATTTCCAAATTGTACAATTAATTTAATACGACAATTTGACAAATTTATAAATAAATTGAATTACGTAGCTTCACATCCCAATAAAATAGATATTTTTAATACTATTAATCGGTATAGTCAAATAAACAATACATTAGCAAGATTTAAAAAATACAGAAGAATTTGAATTTAGAATTATGTTTTTTTTTTAAAAATTAAAAATGTATAACAGTAATTCTACCAATCAACACATTCAATTCTAATAAAATTAAGCACATGATAAAAATATGTAATTATTGTAAATTGTTATATAAAGAATGGAATTCTGAAATTTGTTTACTTATCATATATTTGAGTAAACATACAACAGTGATATTTTATTAGCAATGACATTAGTCTGCAGAACTGTAAACATGTTTTGTTATCAACTACAACAGAATCATCTAGAGTTTTATTCAATCGAACAAATTTAAGGATAGAGTGGCGTCAAACCGTTTTGCCAAAATTACTACAATTGCCATATCGTGAAATTATGTGCTATGATGATCGCAAATGTACCTAGTACAAGTGTGAGATTCATTTCCGACATACCAAGAATAAGAGCACGTTTTCATTACTTTTCACGACTAGGCGACAGCAATCATTCAAAAAGTCTTGAAACGAGAACGGTTTCATTAGGTTAACGATAAAGGTGTGTACTCATACCTGAAAGGCAAACGTGCGCCAAAGGCGTTCCAATTAACTGCGGAGGTCGTCTATTTCGCAGACGAATCCTACGTCCCTCGTCGAGTTCACCGCGCTCCGAATGCTGGTCTGCTGAGCAACTGCTAATATTTTCGAAAGAACGATCACATGAAACAATCGTCAATTGCGTGTTGGTTAGCAGTTTTTTATTAATACATATATAAACCTATATACATATATATATATATATATATATATATATGAGTATGTACTAGTGTTATGAAAATGTGTAACAGTGCCGTACTGCAATGGATCCAAAATGAACGTGCCGACGAAACAGTACGTGTGTACGCGTGCATGTGTTAGTGTACGTGAATAAATGTGCGCGTGTGTCAGAGAGGAAAACGTAAGGGATAAATTAAAATGTATAAAAAAAAAATCAATCAAACCTGGTATTGCACGTAAGCGTGACCGGGAACGTGATGCGTTTTTGATGGAAAACTGTTCATTCGGCGGCCATGTTTGATACGGTAGCGTGGAGCCGGTGTTGCGCGCGCGAGGGCAGCACTTGTCCGGCGGCGACGTCGGTGAGTCACGCGATCGCGGAGAAGCGTCGTGACCGGCCTGTGCGTCACAGGGCGGCCAACGTAACGAGGGACCGTACGCGAGCAGTGCGCTGGTGCAAGGCGGTCGAACGTACGTGCGTGCTTGTTGCGCGTGCGCGTGCAGCGTACCCGCAATCACGTTTTCCCGCGTACCACAACGTTTACCGATCGGAGCTGATACGGCCGCGGCGATTGTTAACCATAAACGGCACCGTTCAGGCAACCGGTTGTTGCATTTCCACTGATAGCGCTCCCCTACCCGACCAATTCTTTGGCGATAACTTTGATACCTGTTCAATGGGCGATGATGATTCCGTACCGCCGGGATCATCGTTTAATCCTCGACGGAATAGTTACATTCGTTCAAATGTGAATTCAGTCATAGACACGAATCGTCAACTCGATTTCCTTGAAGATTATTCGAGTAGTAGTTGACTAAATATTTCTCCGAAATACAAATTATTAAATATTTATCAATTGTAGGATTCCAAGTCCTTTTATTCTGTTTCGACATACACGTTCATTTTTCATGTCCTTCTTTATTAAACTATAGCTGCCGACTATTAGGCGTGTTAGTCGTAAGTATTCTGAACCAATCAAAACAGTTTTATTGTTTAATCCTTCGGTACACCCATCCAATAAATATCAACATAGAAAGAATCTTGCATTTTAGTTACATTTTTAAAATTAATTTTACACCTTGAGTATTCAAATTCCATATAAATCATTAAAGACAACAGAAAGCAATGCAATGATATTTACTAATAAAATAATATCCAAAACTCCTACAAGTTCTATTGTTACTTTTAATCAATAAAAAATAAAAATTTAAAATAAACTTAAAATATTAGAAATATGAAAATTACTTAAATAGTCCTTTTTTTTTAGTCAAACTCATTAAGTTTATCTTGAAATATTTGCTTACATTTTTTATTTAAAATTAAGTTACAAATATAAATAGTTATATAACTCAATTTTCAAATATTATCATAATATAAGTATATTGTAGTTATAAAATACCATAACCTTATAAGTTTAAAAAGTAATGAGTTTTAGTTTCTTTCATGAACAATTGAAAATAACATGAGTTATAAGGGTGTAAAATAAAATCACAGAACAAATATGTAATAAAATTAATAATTATTATTTTTTAGAACTTAACACTATTATAAGTGAATGTTTGTGTAAGTTTAATATAAAAAGAAAGTTATTTGTTTATTAAACAAGCACGGAGGAAAATTAGTTTTTTGTGTATAAGCATATAAAATATAAAAAACTTATACAAAAAGTATTAATAAACATTATGAATATAACTCTTGAATACAATTAAAACCATTACATAGGTCTTCCACGTCCACGTCCAGGTTGTTGTTCTTCACCACCACCAGACTTGGGATTTTTAATTGTTTGATCAACTGACAGTATAAGACAAGCAGCTTCAATAGCAGCTGCTAAAGCATTCTTCTTAATAATCACAGGTTCCCAAACACAATTTTCAAAATTATCGACTACATGTTCCCGATTAATATCAACACCAAATGCTTCACCACCTTGAGCATGTTTTTGACGTAATTTGTTCAATATATTTGTTGCATCAAAACCAGCGTTATCGCACAATTGCCTAGGGATGATTTCCAAGGATTTAGCAATCGCAGCTACAATCAGTTGTTCTTTACCAGCTATTGATCTAGAATAATCACGTAGTACTTTACTTAATTCCATTTCAATAGCACCACCACCTGGAAAAAAATGGGTAAATTATTATAAATTTGTATTAATAAAATATTAAAAAAATAATCAACTAAATATATTTGAATATATTTACCAGCTACAATGGAGTCATTTTTAACAGTTCTTCGAACAATCATAATAGCATCATGTAATGAACGTTCAGTTTCATCTAGTAAATGTTCACCACCACCACGCAAAATTATGGTACAAGCTTTAGCATTAGGACATCCGGAAAACACGTTGAATCTATCCCCTCCAATTTGTTTTTCTTCAAATGATTCACATTTACCGAGTACAGAATCATTTAAATCATATGTTGTAGCCACAATAACACCACCACATGCTTTCATTGTTCGCTTTAAATCTTCATCAACAACACGGCCAGCACAGAACATGTCTCTAAATTAAAAAAATGTTAAGACTTGTTAGGTACTATTTATACAGAAGTTATTATACTTTACATACCTGTCAGCAAAATATTGAGTGGCAACATCACCAATCGGTAGTTTAGACAGGACAACTTGAGCTCCACTTTTGTAAATGTGTTCAAGTTTCTCATACAAAATATTCCATTCAGTATCAACTACTTTTTGGAACTCCTGTAATCATGTACATAAATAATAAAATAAATAGAATAATATAGAAAATAAAATATATTTTAAAACAAAAATAGATTAAGAAATAAAAGATGAGTAGCTAATGCAAACAGATACTATTACAGTTCACTAAAACTATTCAAATTATTAAGATAATGGAAGGTAATTTTATACACAAATTACTTAAGACCCGTGTTGACATATGAGTGCCTCGTGAGCTATTCTAAATTAAGTATAACAGAAAGAAAAGTATTTAGAAAAATATTTGGCCCCGTTTACAATATGGAAACAGGAACGTACAAAATAAAATAGAATAATGACTAACAAAATTTGTATAGATCATATAGCAGAGGTAAGAGGATAAAATGGGCTGGAAATATTTAGAGTTTAGATGGAAAAATTATAAAACGAGTTATGGAAGGAAGAATTATGAGGAAAAGACCTATAGGAAGACTCTATACTCGATTCAGATGAAAGGTCATAGTAAAAAAATATTTAATAATGATCTATGAAAATATACAAATAGAGGATGCGAATGACAGGGATTGATGTAATGGAATAGTGGTGGCAGCAGAGGGGACTACATGGTCCAATAAGCTGTCAAGAACAAGAAATATTTTAAATAATATAATAATAGTAGACACTGTAAAAAAAATTAGACAAAATACTTTGTAGTTTATAAACTACAATAACTCTAATCACATAATTATTAATACCTCTAATTTTTGTACTCACTATTTGTATTTGACTAACCTAACTTTGTTGTAAATATAAAAATATGTTGATTTAAAAAAAAAAAAATAGAATTGACTATTAATAAAATTTGTTGTTGAGAAAAATTTTTAATTTAATTTAACTTTCTAAAAAAAAAAAAATGACAACAATTCAATTTTCTTCATAGAGGTATTGGTTTATAAATTGAAAAAATTGCATCTAGTAATATTTGTAGAATAAGATATTATTTTCTAACTCACAAATTATGTAATTTGTTCAAACTTACTACAATGTAATTAAAAAAAAATTAAAATATAGTTTTATTTTTATTAATAGCTTTTAGTATAAAACTATGATAGCTCAATGATTACAAATATTTTATATTATTAATCCAGCATTCAAAATAAAAAAGATTACAATTTTTATAGCAGTTTCAGATTAAGTATTAAATATGGAGTGGAGGAAATATAGTTATTATTATAATTTTTTTTAGTAAAACATAATAATATTCAATAATTATACCTCAACTGTGTTAACTCTGACTTCAGCATTTGAACGTTCAGCCTTCAATTCAAGCTCAATATTAAGCAATGCAATTTTAGGAGATTTATAATGTTTAGGCTGCATTTCAAATCCAGCATATGAAAATGTTTTTTTAAATGATACACCAGTAATAAGTTGTGAATCCTGTTAACATAATAAAAATTAAATAATTTGAAAACCAAAAAATATATTAAAATATATAATTTTTATAATATAATATTTAAAATATTTAACAATTAACACATCTAAAAGTTAAAATAATTTTCAAATTAATAATAACTATATTAAACAAGAGTTAAACCTTCAGTTGGTTCAATTGATAAAAAAATTATTTAAATAGTAACTAGTAATAAAAAAATTACTAAATATTGCTAATCAAACATCAAGTGGCTAATATTTTAAAGGATTTATTTAATAATTTATATATTAAAATATATATATCTAGTAGGATAATATAAAATCTATGATTAAAAGTTATAATTACATGGAACAAAATAGTAATGTGGGATTTACGTAGAATTTACATTTTTAAGAAAAAATATTCTAAATTTTATATGAAGTCCAAATTATTTTCAAATTCAACATTTTAATGATTTTGTAATAATTAACAATTAGGGCTATAAAAATAAAACATCAAATTTGTAAAAATAAATAATTTTAAATGTTAAATTAATGTATATATATGTATGTATGTATGTATGTGTGTGTGTATATACCTGCAATCCACCACCTTGAACTTTTTTAATACCAATCATATTTAATGGCAATAATTCATCTAATAATAATACTGCATCAACAGCAATTTTAGAAAAAAATTCTTTTTCTTGATGAATAAGCTTTGAATTAAGTGCAGTAGCTGCACACTTTTGAAGAAAAGTTCGATATTCTTCATCATTATTAAATTTCATCTAAAAAAAAATTAATAAGGTTAATACAAATTTTATCAGACATAATAAATTCATATTTCATTATTTATGTTCATAATTAGTATATTACTTTAAAAGCAATTTGATCAATTCTGTCTTGTGCAATTTTTAAAGCTTTACGTAATGCTTTAATAATAATTCTGGGATGAACTCCTTCTTCAACATAAGGTTTAACCTGTTTCAAGAATTCTCCTGCTAGTAAAACTACACTAGTGGTACCATCACCAACTTCAGCATCTTGTGACTTAGCAATATCAACAAGAGTTTTTGCTGCTGGATGAATAATGTCAGATATTTTCATGATTGTTGCACCATCATTTGAAATAGTTGCAGTACCGCGACTATCAACTATTAACTTATCCATTCCACGTGGGCCTAAAGTTGTTCGAACAGCTTCAACAACTGCTTGACAAGCAGTGATGTTAGATAACAGTTGAGATTTGCCTTGACTATCTTCAGTTCCTTCTTTAAGCAATAAAATTGGAGGACGCTATAAAAACAAAATAATTATATTATATATTTTTATGGTATTACCAAATACATGATTGACTGTCTTATTATAAGATATCTAAAAATTGTGTTGTACCATGATCATCAATAAATATTAAGTATTCATGACTTAGAAACAGAGTTATAAATATAAAATAACTTTTTAATCAATATTTTTTACATGTAACACTAAGAGCAAGTACAGTAAAACTGATCAAGTAGAAAATGTTAGTTTAGTTAATACTTGAACTCTTATATAACTCTGTATTTATTCTGTTCATTATAAAAAGAGTATAATATTTTTGGTAATCATTTTTTTAAAATCAAAAATATGTCCATGCATGACAATATACCCTTAGTCTAACATAATAATAGCCAAATTTTTATATAAAACCAGTTTAATTACCTGATATTGGCTTTAGTAAGTGTAAATCACTCAAAATAATAGTTAAAATATTTTATTATTATGTAATGTATTGAAAGAGGTAAATATTAAAGATAGCCATATCCGTCCTGTATTACTGTACCATGCACTAAATTTAAAGGAGTATTAATATTGTTACAACAATATTTAATTTATTGTAGATTATGCATTTTTATTTGTTTTATAGGGAAGTATACTAACAATTCAATTGTTTGATTAAATGCTATTATTTGAAATGCAAATTCATATTCATATACAATATTTTTTGTTTTGATGTATACACAAATTAATCAGATTTTCTGAGATGTGAACAGACTATATACAGCTGTCCATGTGAGAAGCATAAATTTTCAAAATTTAATCCATACATTTGTATGGTCGTAATAACTCAAAAATGTTCTCAGGCATGCGTCCAATCATTTCCCAGTTACATCGCAATCAGATAAACGATTTAAGAAGACATAAAAGACATACAATTATTTTTGTATATATAGAAGATATAGTATGTGATAAGGGTAAAATTTTTAAAATTAAACACATTATTTTTAACACTATATAGTGAATAATTGAATATTCTACATTTACCAAGAAAAATGCAAAGCTTATTATTGATTTAACAGTATAAGTTAAGGGTTATTTTACATTCTATTGAAATTTAAAATGTTATTTTTGCATTTTCAATATATTATCCAAACATTTTATGTTTCAATATTATGCAAGCCAATAAATCTGTTACATTTCAAGGAAACTATAACAATTCAATAAATTATAAATTATAAATTCAAATTCATTTAAGATCCAAAAGTACCTTAAATAATAATGTTACATCTGTACAATCAAATCAAATCTAAAGTAATTTTAGAATATTTATTCTGGATTATTTAAAAGTTATTTTAAAGTAGAAACTATTTAAGTTTTTACACTTGAATAATTCATGAAATATATGAAAAATAAAATCATGTGAAACACAAAGAAAGAAGTATCTATTTCACAAATTAATTATATGAGTATTGTGAGATGCATAAATTAATATTGAAAAAAAAAAGGAATTTATTTTACAGGAATGACTATATTGTAATATATTTTTTCAACGGGAATATTTTAATGAGGGATTAGCGTAAAAGTATCGACTGCTTATAAAGAGATCCCTTGTTTTGTACTCATGTGGTGAGAAGAACTTAATAAGACGGCCGATAAAAGACAACACTGTGTATAATGTGCGCAATGTTAATTATGAAATATTATATGTATTATAAACAAATAAACGTAAGGCTTTCACGAACACTTACCATCTTAAAGGCTTGTCAAAAACTTTTAACGTTTACAAAAGTTAATTATTAACAATTAGAAGTTGAAAAGGATATTTGATTCTATAGTATATTTCTCTGGTTGAATAATTTTATTTACAGTTTTTCACTAACCTACAATAGTAGCACGAGCAGCACGGAGATTGTATATCGGGCATATTATTTACCGTATACATTTAAACCACAGAACAATATGATTGCCCTGTTATCATATCATAATATTTATCAAAATTAAAACGTGATAATTATGCTAGACAGATAAATTTTATGTTTTATTTTTTTATTTTACCATTTCATCGAAAATAATACTTCAAAACTGAATGTTCACGGTCACTCATCGCTCACATTCTTTCAGCTTGCACTGTCTTTATCAAATTATCAATTAATATTGAATACTATTTAATAAAAAACAAATTATTCGTTACTAATTCATTTGAAATATTTAATTTTCACACTTATTAATTTATACTTCCATCGAATATTTTTTTAATATTGACAGTCAATAAATAATTTCACATAAGTGGGGGAGTATTATTGCTATATTCATTTTAAATCCTGATTGCATTTTAAGTCTTATAGCATGGTGAACCTATGGCGTGCAAATAAATTGAAATGATTTAGTTTCTATTAGTTAGTATTTAGTTATACTATTTATTACATTTTAGTTACAAGAAATTCAAAGAAACAAAGTATATACACTATAAAAATAATTATATTCCTTATACTTTTAATTCTATTGTCAACTTATGTTTAAACGTATTAATTGTAAATTGTAAATTTAAATGATAATGTAAAAATACTTGGTGTATTGATACAATTAAATGAGTAAATAAAAAAATATTTGCTACTTAAAATATGCTTCTCAATCAATACTATCGCAGATAGTTACAAGTTAACATTTTAAATTTTCAGTTTTTTTTTCAATAAAATTATAAATGATCTAACAATTTATTAGTATTTATTAGTCTGATAAAAGAATATATTTCAAAAAAATGTATTTGTCATTTTTTCAAGGACATTTTCATGATAAAATGCCTTTTTTAAGATAATTATTATACATCAATTTTAATATTATAGTGACACTTGCCTTAAACAGATCTTAAATTTGCAGGACATTTGTCTTAAACGGAATATTTATTCAGTTTTATGATTTTGTTGCAGATGGTTATTACAGTCCATATATTACAATAATGAAGAATAAAAAATTTAAAAAAGTTTTTATTTTATAAGGATACTAAATTTTTTTTTTTTTGACAATGTTCTAAATTATTCTATAAAACAATAACATGAAAATGTGAAACTAATTACAGAAATTGACAAATAATCAATGTTTAACTGTTTACTTCATTTTTTTTTTTTTTTTTTATTAAATAAAAATACTAAATTAAATGAAGAAAAATTATTTATAAGAATTTATACTTGTAACAATGATTGTTGTAAGTATTAATTCTTACATAGTATAATTTTATAACATATAATTTATTTCTTCAATATGAAAAAAAAAACAAATTAATTTAAAAAATGCAATATTCAATAAACAAACATTTTTAAATCATGTCTTCACATTGTATAGTGTACACTAATTACAGTCTAATTGAAAATAATAATATACATATATTTTTTATTTTGACAGCAGATAGTCTTGGGGATAGTCAATAATTTTTGGATATTTTTCTATTTCTTCATTACTATAAGAATCCAGTGTTTTGGGTATAGGTCGTAATGGCTGTATTTGGTTTGTAATATTTTCCATAATCTCTTCTGGTACATTAGAATCTGGGTAAATATGTAAACGTTCCATAACTACTCTTCTAAATAAGTTACCTTTCATGTAATGATAAACAGCTTTTCTGAATATCTAAAAAAATAAGAATGAAAAATATTAATAATAGTAAAGAAATTCACTAATAATAAAATAATTTCTTAAGCCTGAAATAATTTGTAAATCATAGCAGTATAATTTGATATTATTTATTTATAATATACATTATAAATCAGGGTATAGGTAAAGATGGTTTAAACATTTACATCTTATCGGGGCAGATTAATTTCAAACCTAACCTACCCAAAAAAAATTGTTCTGGCTTCACTCAATTTATATTGTAACTCTGCTTAAATATTTAAATTTTACTATGTAACTATGTAACTACTGAGCACTGAGTTACTGACCCCCCCCCCCAACCACCCAACTCAAAATGTTTCTACCAGGGTTTCTACAAGCTGTTTCTGTATAAAGCAATTAATTTTGAATAAAAAAGTAACTATAATAATTAAAAGGAAGTAGTCTTAAAATGTATAGATTAATAAATAATTTACAGTAAAAAGTATTTTTCTTTTCCAAAAAAACTTATCATTCCAATCAATGTACACATCAATAAATAATTTAGAAATTATTAATTTTAAAGACCAATATTAATAGAAATGGATTCATAAAATAAATAGGTAAGACATTATTTTACAACAAACAAAAATTAAAAAGTCTATTTAAGTTATAAAGGTAATACTAAGTATCATGACTATGCATTTGTATAATAAATATTAGAAATCTGACTCAAGAGAAATTAATTACATAATCTAATGGTTTAAAAGAAATTTTTTTAAATTATTGGTTTTTCTTTTTTCGCTAAAAATTCATATATTATGTTTTCCTAACTTTTATTGAATATTTTAAACCATTTAAGGGCATTTTAAGCGTATTAATATTTTTTAATCTTTCAACTTTAATATAGAATAAAAAAAAACATTAGGTTGGTACTTTTTTATTATTTTTTTTTACTAAAATATGTAAATAAATAAATAGTATAATAAATTTGATTAAAATAATTTGAAAAAAATATGTAATTGAATTATTTTTATATTTTTAATTCCCATTTAATAACTTGGTATTTAATAAGTTTTAACTTCTTTTTTACCGAAGTCTTAAAATATTAATATTAATAACAAAATATTTTTAATTATGTACCATAGTTGGATCTTTTTCATGTAACTCCCAAGCTGGAGTCCATGATGCTCCACCTGAATATCCAGTGTGGTGAAAATAAACACGACGACGCCATTCTTCACCAGGAAATGCAATTTGCTTACTGTTCATAATTACAACATGATCACCACAATCGACTGAAATAAAATAAAATAAATAAGTCGCTATAACAAATGATTGATTTCAAATTGTATTTGATTTATAAATAAATATAAATTATGTGTTTAGTAATATATATAATGTAAATCACTATTATATGTAAATCTTAATTTTTTTTCAAAATTGATAATTGATATACTGAATACATAGATACAAATTAAATTATAGTGTAATATTTGTCAAATTATCTAATTATATTTTTAAGATACGTTTTGTAAAGCATAATTCTAAAATATTTATGAATAATAGTTTGTTGGGAAAATATAATTAATATTTGAAGTTAGGATTATGATTTATTAATGGTAATATTAAACGTACTATCTTAATAACTATGCTAATTATAAACAAATGTTAATGTTCATCAAATTTAAGTAGTTAAAATATTTTCAAATATCAGTAGATTTATTGATATTTTATCACATTTTATGGTAGAACATGAAAAGTTGGTAGATTGCTTATTTAGAATCATAGCAAGTAAATTTTCTATCATGTATTAGAGTCAACATTTTTAAAATTAATTGATTGTATAAAAAACTAATATTAAAAGCAAGCAGAAAAGAAATGCATTAAGTAATTAAATTATTTAAAATAAATTTATATAATTTCCATTAGTTGTTATAATATGAGTAAGATGAATTCAATGAACTATATATAATTAACTTTTATGATATTAATCACAATAAAACCAACTAATCAATAAATAAGTAAATTTGTAAAATTTAATAAAAAAATTACATTGTAAAATGATGGAAAATAAAAACAAAAATCTACATAAATTGTAGAAATACTTATTTTCTTAAATCAATAATAATAATAGAAATATTAATTTATGTTAAGATTTTAAAAATATCATATAACTAGACAATAGTTTCAAAAAATTTAATTTTCATAATTCCTAAATGTTAATACCACACTTTTTGTATGTAATACAAAATAAAGCAAATTTAATTTTAATTTGGTACATAACATAAAATATCATTACATAGAAGGGCGTAATGTTTCAATATTTGATATAATAATAATAAAGTAAATATGTTTATTTTCCGAGCAATGTTCATTCATAAACATATCATATGATGTATTTGAATTAAAAATACTAACCAAATGGATGATAAATCGGTTTGTGCAGTCCTTTTAAATACTTTTCAATCAATGGAGAACACTGTAAAGGATTTTGCCAAGTCGCGTCGAACAGATGCCAACAACGCGCAAATGTGTTCCATTGCTATAAAAATATAAAATAGTTTAAAAACCATGAACTTTATAAAACAGTTATTTAATAACATTTCAACATGTGATTCTACAAGGAACAAAAAGCATAATGTGGTTTCGGATACTGTACAAAAGTAATGCTCACCTTTACCCTTCCAAACTGTGACATTTTAATTCTTTTACGATACCTATGGATCCTAAGCCACTGACTCACAAATTGGTATAAAAATAAAAATTACCAATACAGAGTAAATTGACTTTGCTAATAAATGTTCATAATTTAATGTTTGATGATTGTTGACATTTCTAAAATTATCTATGAACATAACTCCCACCACCATTAATATTTGATAAGAAGATAATCGCAGTTGTGCATATTTAGTTGCCTTTGCACGATTTTTACGGGCCTTTTTAAGATCTTTAGGAAGACCCCGAACAAGGTGGAAGGATGTAGTAGGAAAATATCTAAATACGATCCGTGAAAAAATAAAAAATAAAAGATGCAAATGATAAGAGCCGATGGAATGAGATAATGGTCGCAGCGATGGAACTTCATGGTCCGTTAAGTTGTTAAGAAGAATTAATAAGTATCTGGGCTTATTGTTCAAAGAGTATTACGTCATCCTGCCACCATAATATTTTGACGTAATGCAATTGTATCCAGAGCAATGACACTTTACATTCGGGCACTTCCATATCTCTTACAATCGCGATTTTGATAATTTAATATTGATTATGAATAAAAGAATATAATTTCAGCAAATTATTTAGAGCTTTAACTAGACCATTAAATCAAGTTTTTCTCCCACTTTCTATCACTTTTTTACCATTCCCCAACTTCAAACTATATATGTAATCTTCAAACTCAATGGTAAATTTTCTATAGATATTATACTTTTTTCATATAGTGACATATTGAATGCTCTGAATATTTTAACAATTTAAAATGTATAATTATAAAAAAAAACTCAAACATGAACAGAGGGTAGGTGTATTTATAATATTTTTTGTTTTTTATAATTTAATTTATACAGCGATGTTTTAAATAGTCTTTCAAATCTTTATTCATTTTTCCAAATAATGAAATGTTCAAAATTAAACTCATCATCTCATTATCTTTTCTTAACTTTGAAACACGGATAATGTATTTGTGAATGTGTATGTTTTCTACCTTAAAGTTTGTGAGTTCACCATATGAATTCAATCTATCATTCCCATGCCAAACGGGCATATTTAAATACCGTTATCTGCAAGTGACAGACCCAGCCTAGTGCTAGGCACCAACACCATGATACAAATAACTTGTTATTTTCAAATTAATTGGATCAAAAGTATAATGGCTAATCAAAAATCACTTTTTATAGGATACTATGTTAGAGCTATTAACTAGAGCAGCTGCAATATGATACATATTTAAATCATACTCACATATTTTAATATTTTAATTTTAAGAGGAAAATAAGTCAACCCATCAAGTGTTAATTTGACATTTAAAATTGGTAATTATATTTTAAATAAAAAATATATTTTTTAGCCAAGATTATTTATAATTAAATTAATTTTAACTTCTTTCTAAAAGTTTTTAAAAGTGGAAATCTAAAGGAAATAATATAAATTACATTTGTACATTGGTTTTTATGATATTTTAATTTCCCAGTGAGTTTCTTTTTAAGTATTGTAAAAACTGACATAAATACTCAGTTCATTTGATTCCATTTAAGTTTTATAATTAGTCAGATAACTTAAATATTTAAACTGACAACATAGAATTTGTTTTACTAAATACAGATTTCGCATGTTGTATGTTTGTAGAACGGAAACAAAAAAAGGTAGGTGTGCATTCTTTATTAAATAATTTCATCAGTTTCATTCTGAAGATATAATATTGTTCTTCTAAGTTACTTTTAAAATATTCATACAACAAAGTAATCAAAACCATTTAAAACTCATGTTCATATTTGTTAACGGGAAACAACAATGTATTTTATTTATAAGTTATATACCATTATATACAAACAAGTTAGCAGTATAAATTTGTAATATTTTTCATCTAACAATTTTTAAATATAATATTGCAAATTAAAAAAAAAAACAACAGTAATATTGTTCATAAGAGATTTGGTTTTAGAGAAACTACTAAACATTAGAAAATTTGAGGTTTAAATATTTGATAATGAGACTAAGTAAGTCATAACAAAACAAAACTAAAAACAATATTTATTTTTCTAAACAGTGAGTGTTCTCTTTATTATCATTATTTTTTTATTATTCAATAATAATAACTAATAGAAATAAATTTTAAATACATATCTTATACACTTGGTTACATTAAAAAAAAAAAAAAAAAAACTATAATACAATCAAATTATAACAGTGAACCTTAATGCAGAGATCACAGCCAAAGAACAAATTATTTTTCTTCTTTTCTTTCTTACTTGTATGTATACTTTAATATTACAGGGAGGGGATTCATATACAATGAGAGTTTAGTGAGTCTAAAAACTTAAAATAATATTCACACAAAAAATCAAAAAAAAAAAAAAATCTTAAAATACTCCTAATATTTAGGTTGTATATATATATATAAATAATATACATATATACATGTATATATAAATATATATGTCATATATACACATATAAGTACATATGTATGTGTATATGTATATATTTATATATGTATACACATATAAATATATATCAATATTGACTGTTGTTAGAAATTAGTTGAGCAAAACACATTTAACAGTAGAATACTTTATGTACACTAGTGTTTGGGATTAATATTTCGATTTCTTATATGAATTATATATATATATATGTATGTATACATAGACATATATTTATAATATATATGTTTTTATTTATTATTATTATTATTTTTTTATTTTTATTTTTACAAGCATTTTACATATTATTAAATATTTAATATGTTAAAAACCAAAACTTATATGAAACAATTTCCTATATAAGTACATAAAACATTTTACCAAATAATACTGTCAAATTTAAAATTACTTGTTTAATCACAATAAACATGTATTAATTTCATTCCACTTAATTTAACATTTGGCTGTATAAATTATATCAACAACATGCCTATATTTAAGTAAATTTTAAAGTCTACAGCTTATTTACTATAAATAAATAAATAAATAAATAATAATAATAATAATAATGATAAAAAAATCGAGATAAAAAAAAGTTAGAATTTTTGAAAAATAAATAACAAAAATTTTTAAATAAAAAACAATTTTTTTTTATTCCTATATTTTGTACAGTGAATTTTATTTTTTACATTTCCTTAAATTATATATGAAAACTCCTTAAATTATGGTAACCAATTTGAAATCATTAGCATTATATTCCAATAACAAATTGTTAATGCGTAAAAAAATTAATAATAATTAATAATAATAATAATAATAATAATAATAATAATAATAATAATAATAATAAT